GCCGTGGCCGCATCCACCGTTTGACAATTACCCATGGCGATAGTAAGGAGAAGAGAGTACTAGAGTTTGGATTAATATCATAAATATTTGTTAGCGTGCTGAGTCCACAAGTAAAGTTTTGTTAGTATTTTGGGGGGATATAAAAGAGGAGGATATGGTGTTGGCTTTGTTGCGATTGAAGTTGACGCCCATGTTTTTGAGACTAACAATTGGTGAATTATCTCTCTTGACTTTGCTTGATAAGGGGATGATTTTCTGTGTGTAAGTGGGTTTGTCCTAACTTACGTTAGTTAAATTATCACCACTTTACCCTTAAGGTCACGCTTCCTTTTGATTTTTTGTTGATGTGGGCTAGGTTAAACGAATCATAAACAGAATTGTCTTTATCTATATATATATATATATAGAGAGAGAGAGAGAGAGAGAGAAATATGGAGAAACTTTGTACCAAGTTTCTCCATTGAACTTGGTAATGAGGTGGCCAAATCCCCACCCTACATCACGCCTCGAAGAGAGAGCCTCACCTACTTTTAAAAATAGGCTCCATCTTCGAGACGTGATGTAGGGGGGTGATTTGACCACCTCACTACCAAGTTCAATGAAAGAACTTGGTACCAAGTTTCTCCATATTTCTCATATATATATATATATATATAATATATATATATATATATATATATATATAAGAATATAGTATGCTTGTATTGAAGTGTCACATCTTCTCCACCTCATCAAATGTGGGACCACCATTCACATTGATAATGAGTGGATGTGGATGTGAACACATCACACAAGCAAAAATTTGTGCTGGTACGCAAGGCATACCATATCTCTCTTCATTCTCCTCTCATATAATATATATAATATATACTATATATATATATATATATATATTATATAATATATATATATATATATATAATATATTATATAATATTATAAGAGAGGAGAGAGAGAGAGAAGAGAGAGAGATTTATGGTAATCCATTTTGTTTTTCATCAGAGAGGGGATTTACGTCTTGACGCCTTAAATCAGCATGATTGAGCGAACTTGTGGTGATGATCCGCTCCGTGAACTTGATCTACATAATTTAAAACCCCAACACAAGTTGGGGTGAACTCCGTCGTCGTTTGACCTTCATCCACTCGTATCAAATTTAACGGTTTTGATGAATAGAACTTTTCACATGGCTCGATGGAGGTCAAAACGACGACGGATTCACCCCAAACTTGGTGTGTTGGGGTTTTAGAATATGTAGATCAAATTCACGGAGCGGATCATCCATAATGTCGCTCAATCATGTGATTTTAGAGGCGTCAATGAGGAAATCTCACTCTATGACAAGGAACCCATTATATCTCATATATATATATATATATATATATATATATATATATATATATTATATATATATATATATATATATATATATATATATATATATATATATATATATGAGATTAATTTGTATAATCGGATTTTGTTAAGAATTAATGGAGAATATAGTCAAATAAAAAAACCCAAGCGTAAACAGCATATCGACTATTCCCATTTTAATCATGAAAAATGTAGAATTGATACATAAAAGAGAACATTTCATAACGCTAAGAAATGATTGCTCCACCGGTCACAATGGAACTCAGTGATATTGACATAAGTAATAACTCTTTCCTTATGTTTCACTATCATAAGCATCAAAATGCAACACTCGGATCAATGAATAGGATCATATATATAGCCCTAGCAAAATATAATGAATAGTAGGCTTGATGCATCACATGTGAAATCGTGGTCGTGATTTGGGAGAGTGATTTGGGATCCAATGCATAAAATGTTAGACATAGCCAACCTTTTTAGGATATAGCAATCGACCGGTGCTAGCTCAACTAATAAGTATTATCAGTTAGCTTATAATTAGAATTATGTAACATTTATTCTTCTCTAAGGGAGGGTTATTGGTTGGGATATTTTGAGGGATAATGGGATAATTTTGGGGATTCTATTTTATAGTGTTATTCATTGGGACAAAGGAACAAGGATAATACATTTTTGTGTTATTGATTTTTTGGAACACTAATGAGACAATTACACCACTTGGGATAAAATTACGCTACTCATATACAAAAAATTTATCCCAATAGTAAAAATTTACCCCATCCTCTATATTGGAACAATGTTATTCCACTTTGAAGGCAATTGAGATAATTTTAAAATATTTTTTGTATTACTTAGCTAATACATGCAATTATATTATAAATATATGACATGATATATAAAATATAACATATATTAATATTTTAATGACATAATTTAATAACATATATTAATAATATTATATAATAATAATTATAGTATAACTTATTTATTATAATATTATATAATATTGTAATAACATATATTAATAATATTATATAATAACATATATTAATATTTTAATAACATATATTAATAGTATTATGTAATATATTATTATATAATATTAATTAGTAATTATAGTATAACGTATTTATTATAATATTATATAATATTTTAATAATATATATTATTATATAATATATTATTATATAATTAATTTATAAAATATTATTATAGTTATTATATATATGACATACTATTATAATATAATATAATAATTACTAATATTAGTAAAATATTATGATATAATATAATATAATACTATAGTTTGAAATAATATAATATATTATACTATAACATGATACCTATTAATATATATTATTATAATTATCATGTTATATATATATATTATTTTAATTTTAATATAATATTTATATTATATTATTAAAATATTATATTAAATATATTGATATTATATTATATTAATTATTATATATAGTATAACATGCTAATATAATATAATATAATACAATATAATAATTAATAATAGTAATTTGTAAGTATAGTACAATATATTATATTTTAATATAAAGTAAAATAATATTTATATTATAATAATATACTAAACCAATTGGATAAGTTAATTTAGAAGTAATTAATAGATAAAATTATATTTTAATAAGGTGTCACATTATCAATTATCCCACATGAATTGTCAAATCAAATGCTCAAATTATCCCATTATCCCACTTTATCTCACTTTACCCCATTCAAAATATCTCAAAGGGATAAAATTGTTTCATTGGAATAATTTTTCTACTTGGCCCTAATTTGTCCCAACCAATAACCCCCCTAATAGACAGAATGAGGGGATGGATCAGGTAAGATCCGAGTACATCTAGATTTTAGGTACGGGCCAATTTGCGCGGGCTCTAGTCCATATATAAACTACGTGGCTCAGGCTACGCCCAAATTGTATTGGGCCTAGAGGATCGAACTACGCAATACTATTTATATGATAAATAGGTAATTCAAAATTTAGGATTTTTTTTTCTATAGAAAGCACCTTTAAAATTAGGTCTTTGATTTTTAATTTATACATAAACTAAATTTAAATGATATATTTATTACAATCAACTATCTGAGCCGCTTTTCATCTAAGTATTTTCGGCAATGACTCCATCTAACCTTTACTAAGGATCATATATATGTCTAATATACTTGGTCTTTGACAACTAATCTTTATAGCAAAACAAAAAAACTCAACTGAAAAGTGAGTCTAGGTGGTTGATTATAACAAAATTTTATTTAAAAATATTTTATGCATAAATTAACAATGAAAAGTGATTTCTATAAAATCAACCTACTTAGTTTTGTATACTTTCACGTCACCAGCGCATTTAAACATTTTATTACATGCATGTATCATAGAATTTTTTTTATTCATGCTTAATACTTTTTCCTTATTTGTTACTAGAAACTCTGCACATATACATCCACGTGATATGAAAAGATATGGGATTTAAACATGTTAATTATTGGTGCACCAGATTTAATTAGTTGATAGAAATTGGAATCAAATGTCTCTGACTCAAACTTTTAAATCCGATGATATTTCAGAAAATTCCTCTCCCCTTAACGTTCATTATATATAAAAGAAAAATTCATTATTTATTAGTGTCAAAGATATAGATGTGTATTATTCTTTCTAAAATTTTTAACTTTATTTTTATTCCTTTGACAATTTAAAATATAATGCACATGTAATTATGTGAGTCCTAATTTTATGTCCATGATCCTATGAAATGTTTTCAAGGAGATGAAAGAGAAATAAGTCCTAAATATGGAATGCTCTTGGAAGAAAAGAAAGAAATGAAAGGTATACAAAAAAATTTCCTTGAAAAATTACCTTTTTTTTTCCTTTGAACCAAAGTAGAAATGAGGAAGTGATCTCTTTTCATCAAAAAACGTACTTCCATACCCTGGCTATGTTATTTATAGATTAATGTAGATATTAAAAAAAAATCTTATTTTCTTATATTTTTCATATGTAAAGATATATACTCTAGTTCTTTAGTAAGATTTACATGAGTTGCCACTTGGTGCTAAATTATATAAGCTGCGATTTTTTTTATTTTGTTGAGAGAAACGATGGGGATAACACCCCAGCGGAATTTTTTTGATTTTTTGGTAAAACTGTTGTTACAGACTTCGATTATACTCCCAGCATAAAAAATAAAATATGCCAAACATCTACAAACTCTTTCCTACATCATATGACTTATCCCCCCCACCCCACCCACCCACCCACCCACACACACAAGTAATATATAGCCAAAATATACACAAAAATACTCTAAACATCAAGCTACTAACATTGTCTCCAAAACAAAAGATCTCTCCAACCAAGAGCCCACATTTGCAGCAATATAATGACTGACGCAGCGCGGAAGTTGTAGCCTCGGAATCCATCAAGGACAATCTTCAAATCCACGAAGAGCTTTGAATCCACAAAGTAAATATTGAAGAAAACGAAATTTTATTAATCAAAAGTTATACCTCTAGGGCTTACAAGACTCTTCTTAAATAGAAAAAAGAAACAAGACTCCTACAATGACTCAAACTCTAC